CTGGCGCCTCCCATGATACTTTTTCGTCTTTTTGCTTCTTTTGATTAATTTGCACTCCCAAATGGTCCTAAAATGTCATAAATACAACATAAGCCATCCACAAACCATAGTATATGAATTTTGCATGAATTGGAACTCAAACGATCGAGAAAAATCTGAAACAAAGCTGAAACATAGTAAAAACAGCATCTAAAACCTTCTTTTTACGCATGTAAACAAGCGTAATCACCGGTCCCAAGAGAACTCTTTCTCTGACTTCGTCCCAATTAACCGGAGGCCGACACTCCTTCCCATACAGTGCCTCGTATGGGGCCATCCCAATCGTGGCCTGAAAACTGTTATTATAAGCGAACTCTATTAGGTAGAGGTACTTATCCCAACTACCACCAAAGTCTAACATGCAAGCTCTGAGCATGTCCTCCAAAACCTGGTTCACACGCTCCGTCTGACCATCGGTTTGGGGGTGAAACGCCGTGTTAAAGTCCAACTTAGTGCCCAGGGACTTGTGTAATCTTCGCCAAAAAATCGAGGTGAAACGCGGGTCTCGATCGGACACTATGGATACCGGTATACCATGTAGCCTGACAATTTCCTGTAAATACACTATGGATACCGGTATACCATGTAGCCTGACACGAAGTTAAAAATCGTGTTGGGTGTGTTGCCCTAAAGTCGTAGTTTGTATTTTGTAAAAACAAATGTCTATTTCATAAAGTTTTATTCAATAAATTTGTTGTTGAATCATAGATTTGCATTGTCCAAAATCCAATACACTAAACATCCAAGGTTATTTATGATGTAATCGGGACAGTATATATACTGGGTATATAGTTGATATACGGGGTATATATTTGATATACCCCTGATATATGAATGGATAATGTCCCATGAATATAGTATATGGATAAGGCTGTGTACCTTATCCTAGCAACACTGTGGATACGGCCCGCTCTGTAAAGGTTACAGACGACTTGATCCAGGTCGTTCGTGTCGAGACATGCGAGTGGGGGTATCCTATACAATGAGTTTGTATAAGACCGGACCGCGAAATAGGCAATCTTTAGATGTAACACCGTTAACTAATAGATTGCCATTTCTTAGGATGACCAGGCAACTCATTCTCAATCCTGGAGTGAGTTATGGACTCCTGCCCGTGAGGGCTCGTCCTTTGATCTGTATGGGTGAGAGTGGGCCTAGTCGCCGACTCAACATACCTACCATTTCGGGGACGAGACCGAGTGGGGAGCTGGAAACATAACTTCACAAGATGGAATTCACTCCTCCCCGACTTTAGGGGAGTAGATGAGTGTTCCCTTAAATGCTGACTCCGGGACTTGAACAAGGGGCCCCACCCTCTCATTGGCCGAGAGGAACTTCCGGTTATTGGTTGGACAATAACCGGGTCGTTCATTAGAGGAGTAGTGGTGTTTAAGGAGTAAGATGTAACTCATGGGTAATACGGTAATTTGACCCAACTTGAGTTACGAACACTCGTGAAGGATTGACTCGTCATTAATGGTCGTATATCCATGGACACGAAAACATTCTGCAGTGAGAAGAGTGCAACTGCGGGTCTTTAGTGGAATGACCCGTAGTTAACAAATCTAGATTAACTCGGTCAATGAGTTTGACCGATTAATCATGCATTGTTGGAGCTTCGGATCTGTAGGTCCATTAGGTCCCCTTGCTAGCTCATAACGGGTAAAACGAGTATCAAATTTTTTGGAAGAATTTGAATTGTTCAAATTACTTAAGGGATTATATGTATATTGATACATTATAATATATATAGTTAATTGTAAATTAAAACTATATATTATGAGAGATATTATTTGAATGAGATTCAAATAAAATTAATATGAATAAGATTCATATTAAAACTATAGGTTAAAAATAATGTGCATAAGATGTACATTAAAACTATAGGCTATACGAGAGAAATGTTTTAGAATATGATTCTAATTTTATAATAAATAATTAAAATAATTAAGTGTTAATTATTTATGTATATATATATTTATTAATTATTAATTGGATTAATAATTAATTATATATATATATTAATTATTATATATATATATATATATATATTAATTATTATATATATATATATATATATATATATATATTAATTATTATATATATATATATATATATATTAATATTATTATTATTAATATTAACTCCCCTGCAAAATTACAGGGAGTGAGAGGTTTTGTGACGTGGGGAGTTACCCCACGTCACCCTTCTTCTTCTGCAAGTGTTGGAGAATTAGACAGAAGGTTACAGAACAAAATAGAACTAAGGAATACTCTCACCAATTCTCTCAAGATTCTCTCCATCTCTCCCTCTCGATCCAAAGAAATTCTCCCACAAGAACGATCTCGTACCCAGAGGATAGCGAAGAAGGCTCGGTGGTGGTGTTCGTCGGAAATTTGTTGAAGAAACGTTCTTCAAAGGTATTGAATTTCCTCTGTATTTTTCTTCTTTAAATTTCGATTTTGTATCCCGAAAATCAGCAACGAAGATCCGCTTCCTCTCCGGAAATCACATCCTTTCAGGTGAGTGACTGGTGGTTATGCTGAACGCACGCACTAAGCGTGGTAACAATTATATAGATGCAAGCGCACACCTGTCAGAGTAATATAAAATGGATGGAGTATCCAAGTATCGATCCTCAAGGACTTCTAAATAATTTCCAAACTCTRAAGTTTTAAWGAATAGTGARTGTTGAAATGAGTGATTCTTGTAAAATGGGAAGTGGTCACAAATAATGGTTTTGGATTTGGGATTTGGACTTAGAATGATAAAACCTAGCCCGAATTACTTCAAGTTAGCCAACAAAGAATCAAGGAGATGCTAAGGACGATATGCATTTCACTTTAGGAACCAACGACTACGCTTTTCACTTGACTTATGTCTAAGCAAGTTCACAGTCCTAAGACATTCCCTAATATGTCTATTACGAGAGACATCTTAGTTTTAGGATGGAAATAGTCGCAACCTCGGGTTAAGGTCCTATGTCTAGGCTACTTAAGCGGAACCCTTATGTCGAAGGCGCTCCTCTCCTCGGTTTAACCACTCAACAATGCAAATAAGCAACCTTTTCAGTATTGACTTGTTAAGACTTACAGTGACCTTCTCTAAATCCTAACTTTTTGGGAAAACATGTTGAGGAATGAATGGAAAGCAAAAAACACTACTTCTTAGCAACACTTATTAGAAATAAAAGGCTAACTATCCATAACCGGGCTAGAGACGGGAATTTATAAAGACACATTGAAGAAAATACATGTGTGACAAACCAAAGTTAACTAACGGAGAGTTTTTCTCGCGATTGAGAGCTTCACCCTTCTCTTTCAAGCAAGGAGGAGTGTCACGTGCTCTTTCCTCCAAAGACTCAACTCTCTTAACTAAAAATAAAGTAAAGGCAAAGGGAAGATAAGCAAAGTGCTAGATTTTTATAAATTGGAATAGGTAGAAAATAACTAAGTATAAACGGAAACAAAACAAAGCTCAATAAAGGAATGTAAATTGCTCGAGATTTAAAAACCAAAAGCAACTAATGAAAGCAACTAAAAAGTACTTAGAAAGCAACAAAGAAACACTAAAATTGATCAAGAGAAGGAAGCAAGGCTT